CCTGTAGATAATCAATCAGTAGACTGCCTGGACCTCTTACAGGGGGATAGGAAGAGGTTCCGAGGGTGGGAGCCACACTCCCCGCTTCTCCCTCCAAGAGATAGGCCTTTCGGGGTGCCTGGGTGGCTCAGTCATTAAGCGTCTGTCTTCGGCTCAGGTCATGATCCCAGGGTCCTGGGATCGAGCCCCGCATCGGGCTCCCTGCTCTGCGGGAAGCCTGCTTCTCCCTCTCCCACTCCCCCTGCTTGTGTTCCCTCTCTGGCTGTCTCTCTCTCTGTCAAATAAATAAATAAAATCTAAAAAAAAAAAAACAAAACAAAAACAAGAGATAGGCCTTTCTCTTTTTTAAGTTCATGAGATGACACTGATAGTATCTTCCATGTCTACACGGGCTGGAATAACTCACAGGATCAGATAAATTTTATATGCGACAAAACACACACACAAGGATTCTCATCAATTATCTCATGGAAGGAACCTAGAGATGTGCCAGGTCCTTCATGGATTATATAGACCCTTTGCCTTTGTGCAGGAAAGCCTTGATGGTTAAGTAAAATCTTAGGAGAAGCTGTTTTTGGCAAGAGGCTTTGTTTTAATGAAGAAGAGATAGCCACACATGGTTGGTATAGAGTAACTCCTTTGGACTCTCCTATATTATCTATGTAATCGTCTCCTTTCATACCTGCTCTCTGAACATTGAAGAGGAGTGTTAGAATGGAATTGTCGTAGATGCTGCTGTGTTTGCAAAAGGACACTTCTTTTTTTGTTGGTTCCTATTGGTGCCCTGTTATCATCCTGCCCCATGAAGCATGGTGTGGATCTATAGTTCTGTGCTAAACTAAAGCGCTCAGTTGGAACCAGCTCAGCATTTGCCTGTTTACTGCTTCTCTACACATAACGGCTTCCTTACTTCAAATAGTGTTTGAACAGCCTAAAAACATGTTTTTGGCTGCCATCCAGAGTTTGGCTTCCGCTTCCCCAGTAATGCCATAAAAATGCTCTGTCAAATAAATTCTCGGGAATTGAAAAGAACAAATTCTGTGCTCCATATGATTGTAGATAATAGAAACAGGCTTCAGCTGACCACCTGGCTTGATGCCCATGGACTAGGAAAACCGAATCACACAGAATCCCTTGGCAATGCTTTATAGCTATCAGAGTTAATTCTGTGCGTGTGATGGATGAGCTTTCCATTTAAAGAAATCTGCACATAGCATTTATCTGGGTCTTTTGGGTTCCATGAAATATTACCTTTGCTTGTCCTGCACTGTTGCCAATTAGTATCTATTATAAAGTTTTTGAACCTAGGATTAATTTTCTTTTGAGTAAATTTCACGTTGTTAACCATGAACAGAATCCTTCTATGATTTGGGGTGTGTGTGTATGTTTCCTGCCCCAGTGTTTCCTGGATATTGTAGCATCCTTATTCAGGATCCCAGCTGGAAAGAGATGGCACATTCAAATTAGGATAATTTAGGGAGATTTATTTATAAAGGGACTATTCACGAAGTGTGAGTTGGGGGAAAGGGAACACAAGTAATGGTGTGTAACCTAGTGGAGCTGTTGCTAGCCCTGGACCAGAAGGGAGGGAAGGAAAGAACCTAGAGACAAAGAGTGTCATATAGAGACGGCTGCCTTCGGGATGGCCTGCACAGAGAGACATGGTCTGGCAGTCCAAAGCCACTCATCTCTTCCCTCCCTCTAACCTCCTGTCAGGGGTCCCCCTTGGGTGAACCCGGTCAGAAGCCAGAAGGTGCAGAGTCCTGTGATTTGGTTCCCAAAGGTCAGCTTCCCAGGGCAGAGAGCAGGACACAAGGCAGAATGTGGATTTGGAAGGCAAGTTGAAGGCATCCGGCACTTATCCCAGTGGAGGTGTCCAGTGATTTCTAGGAAAGGCATAGAAATCTTTTTTTTTTTTTTTTTTAAGATTTTTATTTATTTGAGAGAGAGAGAACATGAGCGGGGTGGGGGGTGGTGAGCAAAGGGAGAGGGAGAAGCAGACTTCCCACTGAGCAGGGACCACCCCCCAACGTGAAATGGGGCTTGATCCCAGGACTCTGAGATCATGACCTGAGCCTAAGGCAGACACTTCACCTGCTGAGCCACCCAGGTGCCCCAAAGGCATAGAAATCTTAGTAGAAATCTTAAACTCACTTATATTTTTAAAAAGCTTTATTGGTATATGGTTGACATGCAATAAACTGCACATATTTAAAGTATACAGTTTGATAAGTCTTGATATGTATATATTGTGAAACCATCACCACGATCAAGATAGTGAATTATCCATCACCTTCAAAATAAACCCATTTTAATTTCACATTTAAGGTATTTTATATGGTTCTTTTAAAAGGGTATGGAAAGATAGAAGGAAATGAAGCAATGGCAAGTGCAACTCCAAAGTGGTGGTTCTGGAAAGATCCACAAAAAATGAAATTCAAGGCAATGTCAAAGCTTATGAGAAAGCTATTCAATAGTAGCTTATAATAAATTAGAAAAAAAAGATTGTAAGTGTGAATTTTTGGGGGGCGGCTTCTCCTTTGTATCTGTTTATTGCCATGTATTTATTTTTATTTTTTTTCTTTCCTTTTTATTGTTATGTTAATCACCATACATTACATCATCAGTTTTTGATGTAGTGTTCCATGATTCATTGTTTGTGCATAACACCCAGTGCTCCATGCAGAACGTGCCCTCCTCAATATCCACCACCAGGCTAACCCATCCCCACACCCCCCTCCCCTCTAGAACCCTCAGTTTGTTTTTCAGAGTCCATCGTCTCTCATTATTGCCGTGTATTTAAAACACAATAAAAATCTGTGAATCTGGTCTGTGTAAGTTAGTATTTGAATTGAGAAACCCAGAGATTAATCAGTATTCCGTCGTGCCAGCAGAACCATAGATGAGTGGTTGAGTGTACATTTTATCTGGTGTTCTTAGGCACCACAGCGTGCTCCTGGGGCAGCTCCAGGCTTCAGGGCATGTTCTCTATGACACCACGCCGTCTCTCAAGAAAGCAAAGTGCAGCGTGGTGGGGAAGGCTTGCTATGTTGTTAATAAAAGAGCCTACGATTATTACTGTGGCACTGTTGAATGTTGAGTATGTCTTTGGTGATAGAGCTGAGTTGGGATCTCATTCCCTGAGCTTTATGCATTCTGCCTTGAATTATAAAAGCCAGCAAAACATTTGCAAACACACTTTTGCCATTTATTAATAACTGCTTACAACCCACCTGACAGCTGACAGAGGCCAGGGAGTTAGAGTTTGTGTGGAGAACTGGTACTCTCAACCTTCTGTGTCCCCAGAGCCCCATTTGTTCCAGGGACATCAGGAGTACCTAGCCCTTTCTAGAGAAGGCTTGTGTCCAGTGCAGAGTTGAATGTGAGACCCTAGTCCCACTTCATGCAAAGGAAAGTACCTCCCTGGCTAAGCCAGGACAAGGAGAAGAGGTGTGAGGTTTGCGGGAAGGGAGTGGTGGGCAGCCGAGGACGGAAGCCCCTGGGGACTCTGCTCTGGTTGGACCCCAGCAGGGCTGGTGTGCCCCCATCAGCACAGAAGCTGCGACAGGGCCATACTGGCCTCCCTCCTGGCCTTCAGACTCATCCAGCAAGTTCAGGGCCCAGGGCCTTTGCACTTTTTATTTCTTATGCCTCGATTATTCTTGCCTTGTATTTTTGCAAGGCTCTGTTACTCTCTCACTTGATTCATATTACTGTTGGAAATAGCTCCCCCTCAGATTTCTTTTGCCACCCTATCAACGAATCACCTCGGTCACCATCTCCCTGGCCTACTTTATTTCCCTCATTGCAGGGCCCACTACTGGATATTATAACATCAATTCTCAAACTTTTTGGTCTTAGGTACCCCAAAGAGCTTATGTTTCTGTGGGTTACACCTTTCAAAATTCACCGTGTCAGAAATTAAAATAGAAATCTAAAAATACTTTTGTTCATTGAAAAACAGCAGTAATAATCCCATTACATGTTAACATAAATAACTTATGAAAAATAACTATATTATCCAAAATAAGAGAATTACATGAGAAGAGTAATACTGTTTTGTATTTTTGTATGTGTCCTCAATTTTTTTTTTTTATGAACATATAACGTGTTATTTGTTTCAGAGGTACAGGTCTGTGATTCATCAGTCTTACACAATTCACAGTGCTCACCACAGCATGTATGTGTTTTCTATTAATAGAAGATAGCTAGGTTGTTATAATCTGTTGTAATATATTGTTTTGATAAAAGTTTATGTAGAACATCTAGCCTCACACAGATAGGTGGTTGGAAAAGGAAGGGTTATTTTAACAGCCTTTTCATGTAATTGTAGATGTTCTATTTTAATACCACACCAAGACTCAACAAGGGATCATTTCTTAAAGGCTAATTGTTGTGTGGTCCTTGCGCCCTGGGCATATAGTTGTGTGAACCACTCCCAACATGTGGGTCAGATGGCTGCTTTTTTTTCCCTTAAGAAAAAGTTGGTCGCTGACTTTTGAAATTATGGTCTCCATAAAGTGGAATAAGAAAAGCAAGGCATTACTTTCATTGTATTTTTGAATAACCCTTAAAAAAAATCACCAAATCTTGAAAGATTACAGAAGCCCCTTCCAAACCAAACACTAATTTCTCATGTGCACAAAAATTGGAACACTTTTTCCTTGATAAATCCACACTTCGTGTTATGGTTACTTTTTTTGAGGTAGGAGGTGAAATCCTAAGTCAATGGTTTCTAACATAATTCCTTGATAAATATTTGTTGAAATATCTAATGTTTATTAGAGTGCTTTTATTCATTTTTTCCAATCTGTTTATGGCCATTACCTTATTTGAATAAGTGAGTAAAGTGCCATTCAGAAATATCCGTAAGCTGGTACAGGAAGAGAGTTCAACAGTCAAATCTGCAGATGTATCCAATAAATTAAGCAACCACTTTATCTGCTTGTTCGGGATGTTTCAACACCATCAATCTATAATTTCATGTTTGTCTCTTTAAGATCCACACAGGCTTACAACACCAAATAATCTGGCCCTGTCAGCCCAGCTGTGTCCCTCTGGATGAAAAACTGCTGCCCCAGCTTCTAAAAGAAGCAGGCTACACTACCCATATGATCGGAAAATGGCACCTGGGAATGTACCGGAAAGAATGCCTTCCAACCCGCCGAGGATTTGATACTTACTTTGGTAATGGAAACGCACATGTTTCTTTTACAGCTTAGACTAGCTGCAACCATCGCATAAAAATACACCCAAGTGTAGTCAGATGAAATGACTGGAAACTTGAACACAGAATGAATTTGTCAGCACAGCCGCGGGGCAACTTTCTACTACCACCTCCGTCCACATGGCTCAGTGCTCTGCTCGCGGTGGGCAGTTGCCCACAGGGAGGCGCGTACCTTTGCCAGGGTATTAAATGCCGTGCTCGGGCCTTTGTACTCTTAGAGAATCTTATGACCAAAAGGGGATACAGCTTGCTTCTTAAAATAATTCCAGGCAAAACCCAATACAAGAGTATTTCCTTCACAAAGGTTCAGAATGTTTTTTTCTCTCCATGGACTGTCCCAAAGATTTTTTTTTTTTTTTTTTTCTGGAGATGGTAGAGGAAACTCTTTTCCATTGGCATCCTTCCCTCCCTTCTGTGAGATCTGCTTTTGAAATCACTAGATTGGGGAAGACCAATCAAAAGAATAAAATGGAAGGGTAAATAACAAATGGTAATAGGAAGGATAATAAGAAATAAGAAGTATTTTATGGATTTGATAGCCCTATAAAAATGTGAAAACTTAGGTTAGTTTTTTAACTTACCCTCTTTTAACCTGTTAACAAATTATGTCTTAACTAACAGCCTATTTATCTTACTAGTGGCTGTGTGTCTTTCTGATGAGTTCTTTTCATACTGCGCTTTCTATCTGGCTATTTAGCTACCTGTTTACCTCTCATTTGTCTCTTCATTTATTTACAACCTGCCACATCCAAAAAGGAACACACGCTGAACATAAAAAGTTTAAAAGTAGAGAGCGCCTGGGTGGCTCAGTCGTTAAGCGTCTGCCTTCGGCTCAGGTCATGATCCCAGGGTTCTTCTGGGATTGAGCCCCACAGGAAGCCGGCTTCTCCCTCTCCCAATCCCGCTGCTTGTGTTCCCTCTCTCGCTGTGTCTCTGTCAGATGAATAAATAAAAATCTTTATATAAAAAAAAAAAGTCTGCCTTTGGCTCAGGTCATGATCTCAGGATCCTGGGATCGAGCCCTGCCTCAGGCTTCCTGCTTGGTGGGGAGTCTGCCTCTCCCTCTCTCTCTGCCCCTCCCCGCTGCTTGGGCTATCTCTCTCTCTTTCAAATAAACAAAATCTTTAAAAAAATAGAATAAAAAATTAGGGTGAGTAGAAAAAGATGAAATTGCGGCATGGCACCAAATTACAAAAAAACTGCCTGGCTGTAGGTGGGCTTCACATCGAACTCTGCAACTTGAGATTTCTTACGTCCAAATTAAAAAAAAAAATTTTAAAAAGGAGACAGCTATAAGAGTCACATTATTTATAAGATAAATGGAAACCAGATGTTCAGGAAGAGTAAAGCATTTTCTGGCTCTTAGACCTGAGAAATCTCTCCTTTGGGAGAAGGTAAGGTGGACAACATCCTCAAAAACAGCACTTTAGTTATATAATGGTGGTTTTCTTATACGTGTTTCTTGAGACATTCCTTTTCATTCAAGGTAGGGCCAGAATACCAAAGGGCATTTCAGTGATTATATGGGGCCCAAACAATATAGTCAAAACACACATCTCTGTCATGCTGTGTTGGATCTTGGGTTAAAGTTGAGATGCAAGGACCTCAGGCAGGAGACCGTATGTGCCCCGCTCCCATTCTGCTTCTCTAGCAGACATTGCTAAGCAATCAAGGCATTCTTTCTTGATGAACCTGGGTATATCCTCTGTATCCTCAAATAACTGTGAAAGTCAGACTTGGGTGTAAGAGCTCTTTATCATTTTGGAAATTCTAGAGGAAAAAACAGCCTGTATATCCTTTGACAATTTTCAGTCAGACCTTTGCTGAAAGATGGATCCATACCTATGCTCTGGCAAGAGGAAGGACTATAGGTATTTTAATTTTTTTACTAAAACCCAAGTCACATATTTAAAAATTGACTTGGACAGAAGAAAATCATATCCTTTTATGAGAATTGAGATGCCTGAAGATTCAGAGGAACAAACACCGCACATTCGTCTGAACTTGTAGATAGGAGGGGATAATGACCTTGCAGCTGTTATAACTGTTATGACTTAGATGTTCTGTTCAAAAGCAGCCAGATGATTGTGGGGCTGGTTGTACAACTCTGAATACCTTAAAGACCATTGAATTCTACACTTTAAGTAGGTGACTTGTATGGGATGTGACTTACAGCTCAATAAAACTTAAAAAGTCAGAGATTTAGTTGTTCAAAAAGTATTCTATGATTTTTCCCCAAGAAAGCATAGGATGCCATCTTCTTTAGGCTCAGCATGTAAGTGCAAATTTGTGAATCACTGTTGTGAGAAAAGCTGCATATGATTGCCACATGGTTGTTTGGTATCAGTCTGGCCAAGTATGTAAATAAATAGTTCTATTCCTGGAATTCTCCTGTTTGTAATATCCTTTTAGTATTCATAGTTCATACTTTTTTTTTTAAGTGAGCCACCTAGGCACCCTATAGTTCTTACATTTTTTTTTTTTTAAAGATTCTATTTATTTGAGAGAGAGAGAGAGAGAGAGAACGCACAAGCAAGGGGAGGGACAGAGGGAGAGGGAGAAGCAGGCTCTCCACTGAGCAGGGAGCCTGATGTGGGGCTCAATTCCAGGACCCTGAGATCACGACCTGAGCTAAAGGCAGATGCTTAATCGACTGAGCCACGCAGGTGCCCCCATACATCTTTTAATCAAGTATATCCTATGCTTATATTCTCTCAAGTAATAGACAATAGTTTACATTTACAGAGAAATAACCTGAAGTGATTTCCTCAAGCTCTTAACACCCAGGAGTTATTAAAAATTCCAAATAGAACCCCAGTGTCCTGACCTCTCTAATCATCCATATAAGGGGCAAGATCACTTTTATGGATACATTTCTTTCTCTCTTATATATTAATTAACAAACACATTTGAGGGGCGCCTGGGTGGCTAAGTTGGTTAAGCAACTGCCTTCGGCTCAGGTCATGATCCTGGAGTCCCAGGATCGAGTCCTGAGAGTCTGCTTCTCCCTCTGACCCTCCTCCCTCTCATGCTCTCTCTCTATCATTCTCTCTCTCTCTCTCAATAAATAAATAAAAATCTTAAAAACAAAAAAAACCCCAAACACATTTGATTTCCCTTTCTGTTATATACATTAGGGGAAAAGATTGCCATGTAAAAAGTGGTCTGGGGCACCTGGGTGGCTCAGTCGGTTAAGCCTCTGACTCTTAATTTTAGCTCACGTCATGATCTCGGGGTCCTGAGATCAAGCCCCGCATCCAGCTCCACACTCAGCGCAGAGTCTGCTTGAGATTCTCTCTCCCTCTCCCTCTCCCTTTGCCCCTCCCCTTGCTCATGCTCGAGATAGTTTCTCTTTCTCTCTCAAATAAATTAATTAAATTTAAAAAAAGTGGTCTTAAGACCAAGGTATTCATTGTATGGACTTTGAATTTATTGAATCATGAAAAAGGAGGAAATTAATTAGAAATGAATTCATTTTTCATATAAACTGTGTAAAGCTTTTGATTGTGATGATAGAGAATGCTTAGGGCTGAAGAAAGGGCTTGGCTAATTTTATCCACCTCATTTTAAGGTTAATAAGCATTATTTGTTAAGAGATGGCTCAGAGTCCAGCACAGCTTATTTCTTTTTAATAGCTCTATTGAGGTATAATTCACACGCCATATAATCCACCCACTAAAGTGTACAATTTATTGATTTTTAATAAATTCACAGGGTTGTGCTACTGTCATTACAACCCAATTGTAGAATATTTTCATCACCCCAGAAAGAAACCCCTTCTCTATCATCAGTCACTCACCATTTTCTTCCAACCCCACCAGCTCTAGGCAACCACTAACATAACTTTTTGTCTCTATAGATTTGCCTGTTCTGGACATTTCATATAAATGGAATCATACAATATGCTGCACAGCTTATTTTAATATTTTAGGAAAATATGGAACATTTGCAGAAACAGCTTTAGTTGAGAAAACCCATTTCCTTTCATGTTTACATTCAAATTGGGGGATAGGCAGTTGATGCCATTTACATTGGGGGCAAAACTGAGATTGTGGTTGGTAGAAAAACCTACTTTGATTGCCCACGTTAGTTTGATCTTTTGGTTCTGTTAAATTGTCTAGAGCTCCTGTTTGGAAAGGGTTGTGTCTTCCGCCAGTGGGTGTCAGCATCTGACTAAAGATGATTCCTCCTAGAGCTGCTTCTATAGATAACCTTGAAGCCAGTCTCCAAAGGTCAATATCAACTTATTTGAATCCTGTGTTCATTTATGTGATACCTCAGAGTAAAAACTTGTAAGAAATCACATTAACCCTATGCTGTTTTTGCCATTAGATAGCTTTCAAAGATTAAGATTTTATCATCTTTCCTGAATTTAAACTCTGATTTTTAAAAATGGATTTACTTGGAATCATCCACTTTGAGAGTTCCATGACAGAGCCTTGTGTTCTGAAGACTTGACTGAGGAGGAATGGATTTGAATTTTTTTACAATAACATTTTAATGCCTCCTGCTAGCAAATATAGAGATGTTAAGAAGTGGTGCTCTGATTAGCCTTGTCATTTGATTAGCCTTGTCATGGGTAATCAATTGCACTAGGCAATTAAATGCTGAAACATTAGTTTGTTTAGCAAGTTTTATGCTATGCTGACTACTTTCATCTCCGATTCTTGTTGTAGGATATCTCCTAGGTAGTGAAGATTACTATTCCCATGAGCGCTGTACATTAATTGACGCTCTAAATGTCACACGATGTGCTCTTGATTTTCGAGATGGTGAAGAAGTTGCAACAGGATATAAAAATATGTATTCAACAAACATATTTACCGAAAGAGCTACAGCCCTCATAACTAACCACCCACCAGAGAAGGTAAGTCTTGCTTTTTTACTGATATCAAAGTTGTGTTAAGATAGCATCTCTTCAGGTGAGTATAGGAAAAAGCTGCTTGTTTGGGAAAAAAAATCTAATAAATTCTAGGGGAGTTGTTTTTAAATTTTGGAGTGTATCGGTATCTGCCTGGGGAAGTTTGATAAAAATAGAAATTCCTGGAGCCCCTCTTTAAAAGTCTGATTCCTTAGGTCTGGGGGAAATCCATATATCAGCATTTTATTTTATTAATTAATTTTAATTTTCATTTATTTTTAATGTGGGGCTTGAATTCACGATCCTGAGATCAAGACATGAGCTGAGATCAAGAGTCAGATGCTTAACCGACTGAGCCACCTGGGTGCTCCCATACATCAGCATTTTAAAGAAACTCCTCAAGGGTGATTCTGACACCAAGGGTCCCCCGATGACACTTTGAGGAATACTGTGTCGAAAGTGTTTTAGTAGAAAAGTAGTTTTATTATTTTGGTGTCTTATGTGCATGAGCTGTAAGCAATTAGTACATTGACTTTTTTTAAATGATAGGCTTGTGTACAAGATGAGGTTGTAGTATGGCAAACTTTCTGTTAAGAGATCGGCGAACGTTGGGTTCAGGGCAAGTCCTCTTTGTATTTGGCCTCCCAAGGTTATTTTGGCTATTCTAGATATTTTGCATCCTCATATTAATTTTAGAATCACCTGGTCAGTTTCTAGCAAAAAGTTCCTGCTTGGATTTAAATTTCATTGCATCTGTAGACCACCATGGGGAGAATGAATGTCTTAACAGTATTAAGTCTTTCACTCCATAAACATGGTATACCGATGAGCCTGTTTTTCACATTTACTACATTGAAGCCATTGTGTATGTCATGTACTAAAATCTTAAGACTTATCTAAAGGTAAAAATAGAAAAGTGTGAATTGCCTTAAATGTTTTTGTTGTTGTTGTTAACCTAGAGTTAGCTTCATAAGCTAAATTCTTTGAATATACCTTTGAAATTGGGTCACAGATTTGTGTTGGCAGATACTGGGCCCAAAATGGGGCTTCAATGACTTGCATTAGCACAGCAATGAAATTAGTCCTTCAATAAGACCTGATATAGCAAATTACAGAATGTGCAGCATTATCTGGTGCTCCCAGTTTTCTGCACTTTGCTTCTTTGACAATTACTGAATGGCCTCAGGGCAGATCACAACTTAGATTTAGGTTTATATACCTGCTCCGAGGTGGTACCTGGCAGCTGACTCCCTTTTGACATAGTTTCTTCCTGGCTCTGCCTTTGCCTATTCTAATTCAGTATTGGGGGTCTTCCCTGGTATCTGTCCTCAGTTTTGCCCCACCTTGGGCTTTTTATCACTCTTAATGCTGACATCTTGGAGTAGCCATGCTTCCTGTGGAGCTTGGAAGATCAGAAAATTCTCTCACATATGTGGACGTACGCAGGTTTTAAATCTAGATCTAAACTGGGGCATCTGGGTGGCTCAGTCGGTTAAGTGTCTGCCTTAACAGGGTTCTGGGGTTGAGCCCCGTGTCGGGCTCCCTGCTCAGCGGGAGTCTGCTTCTCCCTCTCCCTCTGCCTCTCCCCCTGCTTGTGCGCACGTGCTCTCTCTCTCAAATAATTAAATAAAATCTTCAAAAAAAATGTCAATCTGAACCACTTTTCAGAGAGCTGGGATAACTGCTAGGTAATTGGCTTAGGTTCTCAGTTTTCTTCTGTATGCTTGGTGTTTTATAGATAGTGCTAAAAGCCCAAAGAACAAGATAAGGTCTTGAGGGAACTGTGGTTCTAGTCCTGTCCTTTGAGTTAGGCACCCTTTTATAGATAAGCAAACAAGAAACTTGGTCAAGGTCACAGAGCTACTGAGAGTCCAAACCAGAATTTAAACCCACACTGTTTGACTCCAGAGCTCAGTGCACTCAATAGGCATCCCGAGTTCACAGCTCGTATCTAAGACTAGAGGTTATTAGCCCCGGTATATGATTCAGCTTGATGGTTCCAGTCTTGACAGTATATTGGGCTCATCTGGAAAGCTTGTAAAAAGACCAATAACAAATATTGTGGTTTATTGGTGCTTGGTGGGAGGGTGTCATTGGTATTTAATTACCCCTCTGCCCCTCCCTCCCTCCCACTGGTGATTCTGATTGTGCAGCCACTCTTGAGTCCCCTCAAACACAGGGGGACAAGCTCAAGCCAACTGCTTTTTACAGGCTGACAGTCTAACACTACCTTAATCATGCAACAACTATAATATGCCTACAGTAAAAATGAGTTCCCATTAGGCAGCAATGGAGTATTCTCTCACAGTGCCCGTAACATTAAGCAGATAAGAGGAAGCAGCTGGGTGAAATAGTTCTCTATGGGTGGGCTGCCTTCTCTGGTGTGGTGCGGAAAGCATGGGAACTGCGGGAAATGAGTCCCCAAGAGCTCGCCAGCCACCCAAACTTGTGTTAGTAATACAGTGCTGCTCATTGGTAGCATTATGGGGATTGCCAGATGAGAGGATGGGCATTTTCTGACAGTGTCTGAAATATTCTGAAGCAGTGTCCAGCATTCCTAACATCCTCAAGGTCAAGTTTCAAGCGTAGACATAAATGAATGAAATAATCAGTACCGAGGAACAGCCCCAGAATGCTTGTTTAAGACAGCAAATGCAGACGTTTACATTTTTAGTTCTCAGTAAGATGATGCATCACATAGTTCCAGGAGCTGCGCTTTTCATCATTTTATCCCAATGTTGAATCTAATTCTGTGCTAATTTCTTAGATGCTATATGTAGACTATAACATAGCAACTTGTCTAAGATGGAAATCATTAAAGAAATACACACGAAGTATCCACAAGCCATCTTGAAAATGTGCCTATTTGAAAGAGCATTCGAGGGGGAAAAGAGCATATGGAGCTATTTTGTAACAGAAACACAGTTGGTGCTGGATTCAGGGAGATACTGCTAATAACCACTGCACATGTGTTGAGAAGGAATGTCTTTTTTTCTCCAGGATAATTCCCTTAATACTAACACTACAGTGTAAAAGCAACATGTCCATAACATATCGTCTACTTAAAAATAGTCCACCCCCAACACTTTGCAGAATAAAAACAAAGGTTTTTCTCATAAACCTAATCTACTAGAAGCTTCTTAAAGCAAATGTGAATTTCTAACGGTAGACACTTTTTCCTGACACAAGTTGGAAAGACATGTCTTAATTTGAAATTCAACAATAGAGCAATAATTTAAAAATGCATCCTATATTTTTTTAAATTTATACTTTAAATTAGGGAAGTATGCTAATGAAATGAAAGTAAGGCTTTCTTCCTCACTGGAATCAGGTTTCTTAGCACGGTGAGGATATTTAGAGTAGCTAACTTAGGAGTCGTATGGCATAAAAGAAAGGGAAAAGAATTCTTAGTGTCTTATCAATATGCTAATAAGTTTAGATGATAATGTCATAGTTTTGTGTAATACTTAAACATTTGGTCACGATTCACATCTAGGATTCCGTTTTATATTCCTAAGGAACCTGAAAGGGTTATAGTTAGGGTTGTTGTCAAGTCGGCTGCTATAACTGGCTCGGTCGCAGCAGGGACCTGGACCCAAGAAGGAGCAAGGGGAAGATCAGGGTCCCGCACAAACCTGGAGTCCATGGAGATCAAAACCAGCTCCAGGACAACCGTGTTTTGAATGATGTCTGTAAGGTCATAATGTGCCCACAGGTTTCCAAAGGCGAAGGCATGACTGGGCTGGAACTCAAGTCAGTAGACAGCATAGTAATACTGACTCTGTCCCCAGGATGGCGGCCGCTTGCTTTAGGCTAATAGTGAGTTGACCCCATGTAGGCAGGTGTGGGGAGATCGACCATGTCTGTTCCCTGGGGCTGGGCCGGGTTGGGGGGGGGGGGTGTCTTACAGCAAGTGGTTGCAGGCAGGGTCCGGATTGTAGTTAGAGAACCTCAGAGCCCTAGTTAATTATTCTTTCCCCTAGGCCACCAGGCAGTACAAAGAACAATACCCTGCTAATTTTTTTTTTCATTTAAAAATAGTATTGAAATGTTTTATATCTAGCGCTGTGGGAAATGAGTTGTTTCATCGATAAAGTTTACCTTGTGAATGTTGAAACTTTCCTTTTACAATATCGGATGGAAATACTCTCAGTTGTGTTGCTTTGGGCCTCACCTTATTAAAAGGGCTGCACTATACATCATTCTGCCTGTTTCTGGTGAGCCAGAGATATATTGATGTGTGTGTCTGTCCACCCATACACTGCATGGCCCTCGATTACTGCTGGTGACATGGGGAAAAAAAAAGATAGCTTGTTTTGTTCGAGGAACACCTTTATCTTTACTTGTAAGTTTCTAGGATGTGGTTGGTGGCAGTGCGAGGCCCTTGCCTGGCCTGAGACAGTCACAGTCCTCATCCCTCAGAGGTGCTTTTCACTCCCTCTTCTCAGCTGTGCTCCTTCTGTTTGAACCTAAAGGAGTCTGACCCCTGGAAAAATGGGGGAATTGCTACAGTTTTAAAACTTTGACCCCTCAAGAGTAATGGTCATGTCTTTAGCCCCCTACAGAATAATTATGGGAAAGGTTTTCAGGTAATGTTTTTCTGTATTTAACAAAGTGAGTAGAATGATTTCCAAACTGAATATTTGTGGGGTTTTTTTTTAAGATTTTATTTATTTATTTGATACACAGAATGAGAGAGAGAGAGTATATGAGCACACAAGCAGGGGGAGCAGCAGAGGGAGAGAGAGAAGCAGGCTTTCTGCTAGCAGGGAGCCCAATGCCGGACTTGATCCCAGGACCCTGAGATCATGACCTGAACCAAGGCAGACGCTTAATGACTGAGGCACCCAGGAGCCCCCATACTGAATATTTGTAAGACTCTCTAATGATGGTCTGAGAACTCTCCCACACCACCCTCCCTGGCCATCACCTCTAGAGATCAGGTGCGGGCTGGGAATAACCTGCCCTCTTTCTCCTTTCCTTCACCGTGTGCTTTGCCACGTTGCTGCTAATGACCTGGATGAGCGCATCTTCTCCTGAAGCAGTGAGCTCCTTCTCTCATTCCTCCACCCCTGCCCAGAGAAGCCAGACCGGGGTCACAAACTCTGGTGTTTACAGGGGCCAGGCTGCTGACCTAAATAAGTGAAGCCTCTCAGGTAGAACAGTAGGGAGGCTCTAGAAATTGGAGAACACTTGAGAGTGAGGCCTCTATTTCATGCTCCAGCCATTTGTTACCCGATGGAATATGGGCATGGAGTTGTCGGAGTTCTGATTCTTCAAGAAAATTTTTTTTTAAAAAAACGGAGAGTTTTATGTGATATTTCCTGATTTAAAAAACTTTATGTGGGCGGCAAATTGTGGTAGCCTTCCAATATTTAATCCTGTCCCCATCCAGACTGTGGCTGGTTGGTGGGAGGGGGTGGGGGTGGCGGGGTGGGGGGGGTTTGGTTTGATCTAGTGCTGAAGACCCGAATGGCTGCTCCCACAGCAGACCCTCACACTCACCGCCGGGCCACCGATGCCCCTGCACATCCACCCCCCCCCACGCCCCCCCCCCACCCCCCCGCCCCAAGGTGTCTCAGCCCAGACTCCTTCCTCAGCATGGCGGCAGGGCATGTGCTGGGTGGGGTTCCCTGCACTGTGGTCTGGGGGAGCTCAGAAGTTTTGCTCTGTGTGTGGCTGGAGTAGAGAGGGTGTGTGTTGAAGGGAAGTGGAGGCAGAACTAAAGCAGTGTCAAAGATTGTAGTACTGACCTTTGGAGTTGCAATTTGGAATGCTTTCCTGTGGACAGGATGTACAAATGAAGCCTAGGTTCTAGTTATCATTCCATCACCTAACCTCCTTCGTAAAATAGGTTTTAAAGTGATGACTTTGATATTTAACAGCTATTTTTATCATTTTGATTTTGGGGAAAAAGGTTTTGGGTTTTGGGTTTCCAGGTTCTAAAGATCTGAACTAAAAATAATCTTTTGGGTATCTTTTTAAGCTCTATCTATGTATATTCCTTACTCTATCTAGCAAGGTGTATGATACAGAATTTTAAAAAAATTATCAACAATAATGAAGAATGAAATATGAGCCACCCCCCCCCCCCGCAGTCCTCTTTCTAACTTTTCCCCCATTCCTTTATGAGATTTAAATGCCTCAAATACTTTAACAGAATTGTATTATTATTCTTGGATTGAACTGTTGTTGTCTCTTTGAGGGTTTTCAACTCATTAAGGAATTCTGTAGGAGCGCAATGAAGAGAGTGCTTTCAGAAAAGCTCATTAAAAAAGGAGAGGCTGACCTGGAATACCCCTAATGTTAAATGCTATAAATTGGTGTAAAAGGTAAAATAGAATCAGCGTATCACACTCCTTAGTTTCCAGGAATTAAATTGGGATTATGTTTGTCCTTGATCGAAGACTAGCAAGGCATGGTGTTCACTTGTTTTCTCCTATGAAAAATCCTGAACTTTCTCCGAAAGTGTGGGAACTCTCTTTTTTTTTTTAAAGATTTTATTTCTTTATTTGACAGAGAGAGAGAGAGCACAAACAGGGGGAGTGGCAGGCAGAGGCAGAGAGAGAAGCAGGCTCCCCGCAGAGCAAAGGAAGCCTGATGTGGGACTCGATCCCAGGACCCTGGGATCATGACCTGAGCCGAAGGCAGTCGCTTAACCAACTGAGCCACCCAGGCGCCCCAGTGTGGGAACTTTCTTTTCAGCAAAAGCAAGAAGCTAAAGCATCTATTGGTACTGCACCATAATGGTGGAGTTTCCAATAGGAGATTGCTCTGCAATTAATATGAATGTGGACAAATCCAATAACCTTTCTAAGACCCAGTTAACTTATCTGTGAAATGGGTGTAACAGGCTGGATTTGAGTATTATATGAGACAGAATATGCAAATCAGTATCATAGTATCTAGCACATAAACAACATTCAATATATAGTTGTTATTATTGGTATTACTATTATTTGTTTGGATCAGAGCCTTCTAGGCCATTTTAGAACTCAAGCTTTTTAGTTTTTCGTCTTGTGTCTTTTGTTACATTTTTAATATCTTTATTGATGCTCCTAGTTCACATGCCATAAAATTCACTCAATTAAAGTATACAATTCAATAGTAAATTCACAGAGGTGTGCAACCATCATCACAGTCTAAATTTAAAACATTTTCATCACCCCCAAAAGAAACCGTGTGCCTATTAGCAATCACTCACCATTCCTCTTCTGCCCCAGCTCCCTACAGCCCTAGGCATCTTTTGAGTATCTTTTCACGAGCTTTTTGGCCATTTGTATATCTTCTTTGAAGAAATGTCTATTTAAATTATTTTCCCATCTTGTAATTGGGTTAATTGTCTTTTGTTATTGAGTTGGAAGAGTTCTTTGTGTATTCTGGATACAAGTCCCTTGTCAGACAAATGATTTACAAATATTTTCAAGCCATTCTGTGGCTTGTCTTGATATTACTTTTATTAACTGATAAATCTGGACCTCTCTCTCTGTATTTAATGCTTCCATACCCTCTTAACTGATTTGCACAAACTCTCTTTCCAGCCTCTGTTTCTCTACCTTGCTCTTCAGTCTGTCCACGAGCCCCTTCAGGTCCCCGAGGAATACCTGAAACCATACAACTTTATCCAAGATAAGAATAGGCACTACTATGCAGGAATGGTGTCTCTTATGGATGAAGCAGTGGGAAATGTCACGGCAGCCTTAAAAAGCCACGGGCTCTGGAACAACACAGTGTTCATCTTCTCCACAGGTAAGTCTGTCAATAGGAAAATCATCTCTTGGCAAAGCCTAGGACATGGTATTCGATACATGGAATGAAGACAAATTGGAACATTTAGCAGTTCCTTATTAAAATAAATGTTAACTGTGCAAGCGGAGACATAATAATGGATAGAAAAATGTGTCTAAGGAAAAGCATTATGGGCCTTCCCTCTCTTCCTTCAGATATCAAAATATTCTGGCAGAATGCTTGAAAACCAGCTCTCACGACCCGAGTGAGTATGAGCGGACATCACTCATACGCAGGACAGCCGGGCAGTGAATTCCTAGAGTGGCTTGTTCTCCGCTGTCTCTGCGGCCCAGGTGTCCTCTGTGAGTAGGACTTGTGCTGACGAGAGCAGTTCCCTATCAGTGTAGAGACAGAAATCTGACCTTAAGAAGACAAAGGAGAAATGGTGACATTTAAATCTAGGCTAGAGTGGCCAAGCATAGATATTTTTTCATTAGGATTGTTTTCTGACAATAAAATTCATACACACCAATTAGAGAAAAAACAGAAAAGAAGGAGGAAAGAAAGTTTTTGAAAATAGTTTTCATTATGGCAGTGCCCTTCTGATTCCTCATCTGTTATACACACAATTTTTCTTCCGTCTGATTAGACAGAGTTTGCTAAAACGTCCCTGCGATGGGCTATGGTTGTAGATCTTGGTTTACTCATTATGCTGAGCACTCTGAGACCACTTAGTATCTAAAAATGAGGATGCTTTTTTTAATGGGAAGCTTTCTTGTATTATTTATTTCAGAACTGTTTGGCCCTCCATCCTACCTTTCTCCTATTCTCTCTTTACAGAACTTCTGTTATTTGGATAGTGGATTATCCTCTGATTTCCTTAGTTTTTTTCCTCTCCTGTTTATTTTTCTTCTACTATTTGGGAAATTTCCTTATCATTATTTTGTAATCTTTTCTATTAAATTCATTTTAACTACCGTATTTTTAAATTATTCATTCTCCAAAGGCTGTGCTCTTGGCTATTAACTGTATGTGGGTGTGAATGTGTATGTAGATATGTGTATACACATATGTGTACTTGTATGTGTGTATATGTGTGAGCCCATACCTTTACTTTTAAGCTCGCTTATACTCCCAACATTGCCTCTCTTCCTTCTAAGGTCATTTGTATCTTTTTTGGCCTTTCATGAAAAAGCTTTCTCAAATCCCTGGCGATCATTGGCTAAAACTTAAAAATTGGATTGGAAACTCCAAGGGTGAGGACAGGACTTGTCTTCGGTGAATTTTACTGTAAAATGACAACGTGAGGCATGTGTGGTGACGTTTTGAGGAATTAATCTGGGTATTCTACTCATAGCTTGTGTTTTTTAAGAGTAGTTTTGTTTTGGGGTGCCTGGTGGCCAGTTAAGCGTCTGCCTTTGGCTCAGGTCATGAGCCAGGGTCCTGGGATCGAGTCCTGAATTGGACTCCCTGCTCAGGGGGGAGTCTGCTTCTCCCTCTGCTGCTCCCCCTGCTTGTGCTCTCTCTCGCTTGCGCTCTCTCTCTCTCAAATAAATAAATAATATCTTTAAAAAAGGAGTAGTTTTGTTTTGCTTTTAATTAGGTATTGTTATTGAATTTAGCACTTATTGAATACTTACTCTGTGTAGGGTAGAATTCAAAGTGCTTTACATGACTTAGCTCAATTAATTCTCACAATAATATCTGAGGACTACTATTATCCCATCGTGCAGATGTGAGAACTGCAGCACAAAGAGGCTAAGTAACCTGCCTAAGGCCACACAGCCAGGCAGAGCCAGACAGCAACCTTTCTGGTTCCAGTGCCATCTTCTGAGATGATGCCAATGATGACCTGGATGTTCTTATGGGACCTTATGATATAGCAGAGTTTTCCCCGTGGTTTGCTGCCATATTGATCTGTTGAGGAGCCTGGGCATAGCCAGGAGAGACATTCATCCTGAGCAGCATTTTTTAGTTGCTTCACTGTGATACAAACACTCCAATTTTCTAAGCATGCCCTGCTGTGAAACGGGTTGAATGTAAGATAACGTGTCCCCCTCCAACCCCGCAAAGTTCCCCTCTTCTGAAGAAATGGAGACATCTTATGCTTGAGTCCTTACAAGATCTCTCATATTCTGAGAGTCTTCTCAATTTACTTTATTTTGAACAGCCTGGTAAAGCAATTTAATCAGGTCTGGAATCGAATGCTTATAGAGGTCACTAGAAAGAATCAATAAAAAAAGAGGCCAAGACATTTAATACTGATTTAGTACTTATTCCTGGGAAATGACCTCACAGTTGCAAGAATTGAAAGTTGTAAGTTTATAAAGCAGGCCTTTGTTGTAGAGATCACAATTTTGCAATTTAAGGATAAATGATTTCCTGAAAGGAAAATGTACCCTATGTAGACTGCGAAGTGCTCAGGCAGAAATGAACATGGTACCTCTGGAAAACTGTTAAATATCTCAGAGTGCCTCCCGTGACAGTGGTTATTGCTGTCAAGGATGCATGGGAAGAGGTGCAGTAATAGGTTTTCATGATATGTGAGAGTTGGAAGGAAGCAATATTTTAAGATCTTTTATTATATAAGTTCAAATGTGTTTATATAACCATATTTTAAATAGTTGACTGTTTCATAAACATCCATAATGTATTATTTATTCAAGTTGTCAAAAATAATTTTTGAAGCTTCGCATTGAGGTAATGGGGATTACCTTACAATAAGGCTGCCTTATGGTCTAACACTATGATATATTAATAGGTACATTAATCTGGGACCATCTTTCCTTTGTTGGGCTAAATCCAATTTGATCATGTGTATATATATTTTTTATACTACTGAATTCCATTTGCTAGGGTTTTATTTAGGACTTTTGCCTCGACTCAGAAGTGAAAGTGGGATTGGTGGCTCCTTTTCTCCCTGTCAGGTCTGTTGTCTTGGTTATACTCACTTCATAAAATAGTTGGGATGGCTTTTCCTTCTTTTTTTTATGCTCTGGAACAGTGTGCAGATTGTTTGAAAGATCTTTCTGGTTGAGCTGGTCCCTGGGACCTTTTTTGGAGGAGTTTTCTTTTTAAATTATCTCCATAGTTTAAATTTTTTGCTGAGTTATATCTAAGTGTAGGTCTTTAAAATATTTGAAAATTAATTTTGCCTCATCTATATGAGCCCTTTGATCTGCCTGCTGAGATTATTTTTTACTCTGGAAGTTTTCCTTGTACATATTTTAGCTTATTGCTTTAGTTCTGCTCGATTTATTTCTCAAAAATAGCTTTAATTAATAGGTTGAATCACTGATTCAGCTTCTCTCTCATTATTTTCAGTTCTCTGTCCTTTTTCTCAGTCTTCTGGATCTCCTCTGCATTATCAGTTAGACATTTTTGCAACTTGGCTTATGTTCTTTAGGATCTCCAGTGTTGATTATTATTGATTGTATTTTTACTTTCTTGCAATCCTTCCTTTGCCTCAATCAGTTCCCTTTTCTTCTACGCTTGTTAGTAATAATAATAATAATAATGACTACTGCTTGTTAAGTATTTACTGCATACCCAGGCCCTGTTCTAGAGCCTTCCCTATACTTTCTCATTATTGGTCATGTTGTTAGCATTAAAGCTCGAAGCAGCCTTGTGAAATAGGTTTCTTTATCCCCATTTTATAAGTGAAGAAACCAGAACTTTAAAGAGGTTATGTGATTTGCCCAAGGCTACTCTGATGGTCTGAATGTGTCCATCCACAATACGCATGTGGTGGTTAGAAGGTGGGCCTTTGGGAGGTGATTAGGTTACGAGGTAGAGTCCTCGTTAATGGGATTCGTGCTTTTGTAGAAGTCACTCCAGAGAGATCCCTAGCATCTTCCTCCATGTGAGGACACAGCAAGAAGACACCGGCTGTGAACCAGCAAGCGGGCCCTCACCAGAAGGTGACCACATGGGTGCTCGATCTTGGTCTTCCCAGCTTCCAGAACTGAGAAATAAATTTCTGTTGTTTATAAGCCACCCAGTTGGTGGGTATTTTGTTAGAGCAGCCCGAATGGACTGGCAAATGGAAGAGCCAGAATTTAAGTGCAGATCTACTTGAGGTCGATACCTATTAGCCATAATCAACTGGGCTTTTGCATCTCATCTTTTCCTTTTTAGCTCATCCCATTGTCCCTTATCTCAACTTTTGGCTTTCTACATTTTCTGTTCATAGAACCTGTGCTTCTCCTGAATCTTTCTGAAGAGACCTCTGCTAAAATCTTCATTTTCATTATAAATCATTATCAGCTATATATTGACCTCTGATCACGGTTCCCTGGTTAATTTCTTCCCAAACCTGTCGTTTGAGGTCAGGTTGATGTGCATGGCTTCTTCAGTTCCCAGTGGCCTTAGGCATTCAGTGTACTACACTCCAGTGAATCTGATTGACATACTTGACATTTTCCTCCTTTTTGACTACCTGGTTCTTGGAAATGCTAGAAGAACCCCAGCATGCACAGCTAGCAGACTCTTCCTATCTCCATACCTTCAGGGCTTTACTTCGGGGGCATTTCCCAGGACAGTGTGCCCCACTGTCAGACCCTTTTCTTTTCTTACTCATTGTTTTCTGGGAGATGTGATCTCTAACTGCATATAGACAGGGGGAGGGGGAAGGTAATATAATTCTCTGCTCATTTCAAAAATTAGCACTGTCCCATCCCAGGCTGCCGTCCTGCTTCTTTTCAGGTGGGTAGGGTGGCTCTGTATCATGAGGCAAATGGGAGTTGCCAGCCCTTGTTTCTTCAGTCCAGCTTCTTTGGCCTTACCGCTTACAGAAATTTCTCCAAGATTCTCTTGGGTATTATAGGTTGTCATTCAGTCCTTGTTTTTCACATTGTGATGAGTTTTCATCTTATTCTAACTCATCACAGCATCTTATTCATCATATTCTATGTCTGTGTTATTTTAGTAGGATATTGCTCAAGAGAAGCAGCATTGGTGGCTAATAGGAAGATACCATTTTAACCGGGGCGCCTGTCACCATGCTGATCTTTATAGTTGCC